GAGGATCGGAGGACCATCCTCTGGATAACACGGTGAAAACCTCCCGTCTACTACTAAAAAATGCAAAAAAATTTAGCCGCTGACCTCGTGATCCGCCCGCCTCGGCCTCCCAAAGTGCTGGGATTACAGGCGTGAGCCACCGCGCCCGGCCTTAAGATACTTTAGTTGGTCAAATTTGTGATCAAAGCCCAAATCCCCTATGGGAACAAATGGCTTTTAATTTTTTCTTTTTTGTTAAATGGAGTCTAATAAGTAAACAGTATAGCAGGGAGTGGCTATTTCTTTCCAGCCTAGAAGCATCTCAGATATTAAATAATCTATCAGTGTGTTCTTGTGAGGACTTTTAATAAGAAGATGCAGATAAAGCACTTGGCACTGGGCCTGCAGCATAGGACATGATTCAAATGAATTAGTTTATTGAAGAGGGCAGGGGGTGGTAGCAGGAACAGACATTAGAGAAGCAGAGTGCAGAGAGGAGCTTTCCCAGGCATGCTGTCTGGCTGATCAGGTGGTCAGTCAGTTGATTGGCACATGCTAACTGAGCCCCAACAAGGTGCCAGCCACTGGAGACATGATGCACAATGCAGGGCCCTACAATTTTCCCTCCTCTATGGACTTCCCTCCAAGTCCCACTGGCTATCTTAGCCACAAACAATTCCCCCCCATACTTTTCCCTTCAGGCTGTTTTCATGAATAGAACCGGGACATTCCAGGCTTGGCTTCTTTCCTGTCCCAGGCTGGGCCACTGGCTTCACCACAGAACAGCCCAAGGTCTCAATTCACAGCACAGGCACTCGGCTCATCTCCACGGCTAATCTCCACCCAAGTGGTTAGAAGCATGGGCTTTGAAATGGATGACAGAGGTTTGAATCCTGACTCAGCTTCTTCTTATCTGTGACCTTGGGCAAATAATATAACATTACAAAGCCTTAGTTTTCTTATCTGTATAAGTAGGCATAATAATCCCTACCCAAAAGGAATGTGATGATTAAATGAGATTATGTGAGTGTGTGTGTATATAGTATACACATATAGATCAGAGATAGATGGTAGGTAGCTAGCTAGCTAGGTAGGTAGGTAGGTAGATAGATAGAGGCACTGAGTAACATTAGTGGCTGCCATTATTGCCTTAATATTCCAGTTACTTCAGGGTTTGCTCCTGGAGGATTTTGGATATTTGCTTATGAATATAAATAAACAGATTAGGCCAGGTGCAATGGCCCATGCCTGTAATCCCAGAACTTTGGGAGGCCGAGGTGGGTGGGTCACTGGAGGTCAGGAGTTTGAGACCACTCTGGCCAACATGGTGAAACCCTGTCTCTACTAAAAAAATACAAAAAATTAGCAGGGCTTGGTGGCACTCATCTGTAGTCCTAGCTACTCAGGAGGCTGAGGCAAGAATTGCTTGAACCCAGGAGGCAGAAGCTGCAGTGAGCCCAGATCACGCCACTGCACTCCAGCCTGGGTGACAGAGCGAGACTCCGTCTCAAACAAACAAACAAACAAACAAAACCCGAACAGATTAGATCAGACCAGTGGCAAAATGTTTTTTTCTGGGTATTAATAATGCATTATAGCATTTTCAGGAAGTTATAGCCATTTTATTTCAATTTTCCCCAAATCGTTAACAGATAAATCAATGAAGAATGTCAGAAAGATTCTGGGAAAAAATGTCTCCATGACAATAGCCAGGGTGGGCAAATGGTTACAATGCACAGGGTGTATTTGAGCCCACACTGAGATCAAGGCCACTCACAACTCCTGGGGGTGGGTGCCATTCACTACCAGGTAAACAAGAGATTTGTATAGTTAGTGCAACAGATTTCCAACAGGTAACAGTACATTGTTTTAAGGAAAGGGCAGCTTGTTTCCAGTTCATACAAAGTTGCTAAGAATGTATGAATGAGCTGAAGAGCTGACTGTGGCCTCTCTAGAGGAGAGAGTGTGCACCACATACTTGTCTACTGGGCTAGATTAGAATCTGACAAACCTGTGGTAGAGAGGAACTGTCTTCTCTCAGGGTCTGGGGCAAAGAGTGGGATTCCCTGGTGTGACAGACAGGATTCTAAAGATGCTCCCCTCAAGATTCCTGTCCCCTGGTTATTCAGTCAAGCACTAATTTAGGTGCTGCTGCAAAAGGATCTGGCAGATTTAATTAAAATTCCAAGTCAGTTGATATAAGACACTGAGATTATCACCCAGTGAGGTAGCCATTTAAAA